TGCATGCGGTGCCTCCCAGGGGAAAGTGGGGCAGGCTTGAATTTGGTTTTTCAGAAGCTATTCCCATACACTGCCCACACGATCTGTGAGCGAGAGCTGTTCCCAGCTTCCCCCCTCAGCCCTCAGGCGCCCAGGGACGCCTGTCCTAGCTGCGGAGGCAGTCACTGGGCTGCAGAGAAGGGAAACAAGCAGGGGTTGGGCGCAAGCGTCCATCTCATTGAAACCTCGCAACAGCCTCATGAGAGCAGGACTGTTACCATCTCTGTAATAGATGGGAACCCAGAGATGTGCGTCACTGGTCTGGGTCACGCGGTCCACGTGGCTTTGACGTGGTTTTGAAGCGCAAGGTCTTGCTCGGTGGGGCAGCAGGACAGGAGTCCCTCCTGAGTGGGAGACCCAGGTTGAGCTGCAGCTACTGAGTGAGCTTGTTGACGAGGGGGGCGAGGCCACCAAGGGGTTCAGAGGGAATTTTTAGAAGGGCACAGACAAACCAGGATGGCTCAGACAGTGCGCACGCAGGGGCTCCCTATCCAGCCAGTCGGCTCTGCCCACCTGCCCAGAGTCTCCCTTACCTGGTGCCCTTTTCTACCTGCCCATCTGTTCATACACCTTCCCTGGGGCTGCCAACGTTTCGCCTGCCATTCTATGGGCTCCTTATAGACACCCATCTGCTGCCATCCTCTTACCCCAGCCCCAAGGAGCAAGATAATGCCTTGAAAACAGAAGATCTCAGAGATTCTGAAACACCATCCCATGCCAGGGGCGGGGGAGGAAGCGACTGTCCCTGAGCAGGTGGTTGGCCCTACATTGTTGAAGCTGGCACCTTTCCTCTGTGAAATTGCCCCTGGTTTTCTTGGGATTCTTCCTCTGCCCCAGCCTTGCTATGTGACTGTTCCCCTGCCTGTCCCTCTCCCTCGGGATGGTGACCTGCTTGAGAACAGAGAATGAGACTTAAAATCATCCCTGTATCTCAGGGGTCCGGCACATATAGCAGGTGCTCGATGAATGTTTGTTGAATGGGCAAACAATGGTAATGGCATCTATTTTTTTATTTTATTGAGTTCCTATGATGAGCCAAGCCCTATGCTTTGGTGTGCATTACTCTTAAGGTACAAGATCAATTTTAGTAACTTTGTTTTACAAATGGCAAAACTGGGCTCAGAAAGGCTAAGTCACTTACCTGCCCAAGGCCACACAGCCAGTACAAGAAGGTTCTGGGACTCAGGGCATCCCTACGAGGCTCCCAACCTGGCCTGTCATACCAATGGGTCCAACCTTGACACTCTCCTCTCCCTTATCTTCTAGAGCAGCAGTTCTCAACCTGTGGGTCGCGACTCCTTTGGTGGTCGAATGACCCTTTCACAGGAGTCGCCTAATACCATCCTGCATATCAGATATTTACATTATGATTCCTAACAGTAGCAACATTACAGTTATGAAGTAGCAACGAAAATAAATTTATGGTTGGGGTCACAACATGAGGAACTGTATTTAAAGGGCCAGAAGGTTGAGAACCGCTGCTCTAGACTCTAACAGGCACAAAGTCCTGTGAGCCTGTCTCCTAACTATCTCTAATGCATGTTCCCTCCTCTCCTCCTTCCCGCCACGGCTCTAGTCTATGCCTAGAATTGATTTTTCACCAGATTCACCTCGAAATTGGGGTTCTCCTCTCCAGATTTGCCCTCACCATCAATCCTCCCCTTGGCTGCCGGAGAGCTCGCCCTCAATCACCGACTGGTGACATCTCTTTCCTCTGAAACGCTCCACGTTGCCGTGTGTTCTCAGGCAGGGTCCTGGCTCTTAGCCTCGATGTACTAGGAGGGTCTTCAGAAACCAGCATCTGCCTCCCTTTATGGCATCACCTCCAGCCCTACTGATTCTCAGCTCTTGCCTCACAGAGCTGTGGGGGCATGTTCTCTTGCCCGTGCACTTTGCAGGCCGCGTGAGATGTCCTGAAAAAACAAACGAAAAACCCTTCTCCCTCTCCAGGGTCCTCTCGTCCCATAGGCCTCAACTCAAGCAGCGAATGACCCCTCCAGGCAGACGCAGCTCAAACCTGGGTCCTGCAGCATCAGAACTGTTTACTTACCGGCCCCATTAGACTGTGAGCTCCCTGAGAGTAGGGACTGCCTTTCACTCATCTTTGGTACCCAGAGACTTGTCTATCATTTGGCAGATAAGAGATGTTCAGAAATGTTTTGTGGAAACTTGTTCACCTCATCCATCCTCCTGGTTCTATCTTCGGCCCCATTCCCTTTAAGCCTCTAAAACACAGTTTCTTTTCCACAGCCCCTCTCTCTGCCCTTTCCTGCCTCTGCCTGGCCTCCTTGTCACCCAGTCTTCTTATCACAGATGTGGATTATAGAACCACATCTACAAGGTAGGTTCTTCCTCTCCCCAAAGCCTGGAGTTCCAGATCCATCCCTCTTCATACCCCTTCACACTCAGCAGTTTAAAAAAAAAAAAAAAGAATTGTATTTATTTTTTTTGTTAATCCTCACCCGAGGATATTTTTTCCATTGATTTTTAGAGAAAGTGGAAAGAAGGGGGAGAGAAAGAGAAAGAAACATCGATGTGAGAGAGACACATCGATTGGTTGGTTGCCTCCCACACGGGCCCGGACCAGGGCCTGGGATCCAGCCTGCAACCCAGGTATGTGCCCTGGACCAGAATCGAACCTGAGACCTTTCAGTCCGTGGGCCGATGCTCTAATCACTGAGCAAACCAGCTAAGGCTCCGCAGTTTTATTTTTATAAAGTGTGTGTGCCCAGGAAATCTACCTGCCCTGGCAGAGCAAGCAGAGGTGGCGAAGAGTTGGGAGCCCCTGTGCGGTTACCCCTGTGGACTACCCGCAGGGCACCCTCCTGCAGAGCCCAGCTGCTTCCTACCCCCTGGAGTCTAGAGAGGCCTTGTGCTGCCCACTGCTGTTGGAGGGCAGATGGCTGGCCCGAGGGTGAGACCGCAGGCCCTGTCTTCTGGACAGGAAATTGTTCTAATCTCAACAACTCCTCCCCAGGGAAAGGCCCTGCTCAAAGCCTAGGACCTAAGGGGCGGCGGTCACTTCAGATCAATCCTGGGAAAGGGTTCTCCTCCAGAGACCTCCCCCGCGCCCTCACCAGGACCCCCAAACCGAAGAGGCCATGCCCACCGGCAGGGCAGAGGACACAGACCTTGAATTGGTGCCCATCAGATCTGAGGTGCCACCCCCTCTCCTCACAGCCCTCAGGAGGAAGCAGGGCTGGGAGGGCCCCGAGGGGGCCAGTTGGCCTGTCACCCCATCTCAGTCTTCCTTTGATCCCTGAAGTCGGATGTGCGGGTAGAGTGGCCATCGGCCAAGGTCCTAATCGCGGCTCGTCACTAACTCCTTGTGGGGCTTGGGGCCAGTTCAACCCCCTTCCTGGGCCTCCGTTTCCCCTTCTGTAAAATTAAAGCTGGACCAGCCCCAGCTAGTCTGTAAGTACTGGACGCTTCTCAGTGGACCTGCAGGGTTTAATTCTGGAAGGACAAACTGAAAGAGCCTCCGGGGTAGGAAGTGGGGGTGATCACGGCTATTGGCAGGGCTCCTTCAGGCCCTAGGGCAGTGGTTCTCAACCTTCTGGCCCTTTAAATACAGTTCCTCATGTTGTGACCCAACCATAAAATTATTTTCGTTGCTACTTCATAACTGTAATGTTGCTACTGTTATGAATCATGATGTAAATATCTGATATGCAGGATGGTCTTAGGTGACCCCTGTGAAAGGGTCGTTCGACCGCCAAAGGGGTCGCGACCCACAGGTTGAGAACCGCTGCCCTAGAGCATGGGGGCCGACCAGGTGGGAGCTTTGTCCCTAAAGGTGAGTGACAAGTCCCACTGGACAGGGCAGAGGAAGGGCCCCAGGGCTACTGTTGTCAAGAACTCTAAAAGCCAGACTGACCGACTGGACCTGTCTGTGCACATTCGCTCCTGACCAGGTGCTGGGAGCAGGGTCGGGCTCAGAAGGAGGGAGAGCTGCCTTTAAAGGCAGGGCCTGCAGCACATCACCCAGGGCCCTGGCCCCGTCCTGGGTGCTCCAGCCCAGACGGTCTCACCCCTTAGTCCAGGCTCTCCCGGCCAGCCCCGGGGGAGGGGGCCAGCCCCAGGGGAGGGCCGGCAGCGCCCAGGCCTGGGACCCAAACCGGAAGAGGTGCTCGGACAGGGTGCCCAGAGTGGGCGAAAGGGGTGGGCGCCCGGGCAGAGGGAGCCGCGGAGATTGGCAGCTGCTGTGCAGCCCGGGAGGGACGGGGAGGAGTCAACTTGTACACGTGAAAAACTCCAGCGGGGCCGGGCTTTCCCTTCCTCCTCCTCCTCCTCCTCCCCCTCCTCTTCCCCACCTTCCTCACTCCTCCCTGCCCCTCCCCTCCACCCTCCCATCTAGCTC